TCCGCGGGCTCGAAATCGTTGAATGGCCACGGGGAGCAGGGGGAGAGGGGAGGAGGGTTTCCTGCTCCTTCCCCTCCTCCTCCTCCTCCTTTTCCTCCTTCCCCTGTCCCTGCCCTCCCTTCCACCCCCTCTTTCCTCCTTCCGCTCCCTTCCTCCCTCCCTCCCTACCTCCCTTCCTCTGCTCCTCCATCATTTTTGCAGCAGTCTCCAAGTATCTTTGGAGGTCCCAGGGGAGAATGGGAGACATCTGCAGGTCCCTGAAGGCTTCTGGAGGTTTTCTGAGACCACCTCAAGGGTCCAAAGCGCTCAAACGCCTCAGTCATCGTCGCCGTCGTCGTCCTCCTCCTCTTTCTCCTCCGCGTCCTCCTCCTGATCCTCCCTCCTCGTTCTTCTTCTTCTCTTTCTACTTCTTCTTCCTCCTATTCTTCCTCCTATTCATCCTCTTCTTCCTTCTTTTCCTCTTCGTATTCCTTATGTTCCTCCTATTCCTCCTCCTCCTCCACCTCCTCCTCCTCCTCCACCTCCTCCTCCTCCTCCCTGCTCTTCCCCCTCGTGCCCCTCCTGTCCGCTCCTCCTGCGCCTGCTGCTGCTGTTCCTGCACCTCAGGGGGAGATACCATTTCTGCGCCTTGGCCCCCCCAAGCGGCTCAGAAAGGAGGGAACGCTAACATCACTAAAGAACCTGAGGACATCAATGGTTTTGGTCTCCTGGAGTCCCTCTTTGGGGCGTCTTGGGGAGTTTGGGGGGCCTCTTCGGCCGTCTGGAAGGCATCTTGGGGCCATTTTGGGCCGTCTTTGAGGCTGCTGGGGACCGTCTTGGGCTGTTTTTGCAGGAATGGCCGTCTTGGCCGTCGCGGTGGCGCTGTAGGCTTTGCCAGCCAGGTTTCCTTTCCTGGCCTCTTTGGGTGGCCGGCGGGGAGGGCTGGAGGCCAGCAGGGACCCTTGGAAGTGCTCCAGACATTCAGAAGAATCCCGCACGCCGGGCCCCCTTTTGATACATATGTACATATGTATCCACAGGGGGCGGCGGATACGGTGGCCTTCGGCCCACCCCGCCATCGAGCCATGATGGTAGGTCGGAGGCCTCTTGGACGCTTGTGTGAATTTCGGGCGGTCTCTCAGAGGCCTCTTGGAGGCGGTTTTGGGGTGTCTTGAGGCTGGTGGCCTCTTGGTGGCGTCTTTTGGGCCTCTTGGTGGCCTGCTGGGGTTTCTTGGAGGCTTCTCGGGGGCCTCTTGGCGGTATCGGGGGTCATCTGGGGCGGAGGGCTCGAAATAACCCTCCCTTCTGAGGACCCTATTTGGGCCGTCTTGTGCCGCCTTGAGGCCCTCTGGTGCCGTCTTGCGGGCTTTTTCGGGGCCTATTGGGCCGCCTTGAAACGATCTTGGGATATGGTTTCTGGGGCCGCTTTGGAGCGTCAGAAGGCCGACCTGGCTCGACCGTTAAAATCATCGAAACCCACACAGGAGATTCATGACGATTGCCTCTTGGGGTCTTCTTACTAGCCTTCTGGGAGCCCTCTTGGGGCGTCTTGGGGGCCTCTTCGGCAGTCCTGAGGCCATCGTGGGCGTCTCCGAGAGTTCCACGGCCGTCTTGAGGCCATCTTCGGCGTCTTGCAGAGCTGTCGGGCCGTCTCCGGTCCTTCCTGGGCCGTCCCGGGAGCCTCTTGGGGACCCTCCTCGCCTCCGGAGCAGTCCCGCGACGGCACGCGGGCACACACGCAGGAACACGCCGCGAGCTGGAGCTCTTCAGGCTGTGGGCCCCGTAGAGATCGTTCCGCTCTCAAAAAGAAGCACGGAGAGAGTGGAAGTGACCTGGGGACATTTTACCTAAGTCGGGCGTGTCCCTCTACCGGAGGAGTGTTCAAAATCGCTCAAAAGGTAGTCAGGGGATGGTTTTCTGGACCATTTCTGAGTTTGTTTGAATATAGTTTGGGTATTTTCTAGTGTTTCGTCCAACATCCGCCCGTAGGAGGACATGCCCGACCTAACACTCCACTTCTGGGGCACGGTGGCAGATCATGTTGGTGATCGTGATGCCGCTGATGACGACGATGGGATGTGCAGACGAATCCTAGGATGATGCTGATACTGGTGACGACGATGACGACGATGATCGCGATGGTGCAGGTGAATATCACAATGGGTATGGAATACGATGGCAGCGACGCTGACGATGGACATGATGCTTACGCCGACGACGGTGACGGCGACGGCGACGGCGACGGCGAATGTCGGCGAGGGCGATGATGGTGATGATGATGATGATGATGATGATGGTGATGGTGATGATGATGATGATGATGATGATGATGATGATGATGATGATGATGATAATGTTGCTGCTGATGCTGCTGATGCTGGTGATGATGCAGGCGATGACGATGACAATGCATATGCTGCTGCTGATGATGATCATGATGATGCTGCTGCTGAAGATGCTGGTGATGAATATGCCGATGCCGATGCCGATGACGATGACGATGTTGTTGTTGATGCTGCTGCTGATGATGATGATTATGATGATCGTGATGATGACGATGATGCTCGTGATGATAATGATGATGATGGTGGTGGTGATGATCATGCTCTTGATGATGATGCTGCTGATGATGATGGTGATGATGATGCTGATGAGGATGATGATGATGCTGCTGATGATGGTGTTTCTGATGCTGATGATGATGGTGGTTATGATGGTGATGCTGATGATGATGATGATGGTGGTTGTGTTGATGATGATGATGGTGATGGTGATGATGATGATGATGATGGTGAAGATGGTGACGATGGTGATGATGATGATGATGATGATGATGATGATGGTGGTGGTGGTGGTGGTGATGGTGGTGGTGGTTGTGGTGGTGATGATGATAATGATGATGATGACGATGACGATGATGATGCTGATGCTGCTGCTGATGATGATGCTGATGATGGTAATGATGATGATGATGATGATGCTGATGATGATGGTAATGATGATGGCGATGGAGATGGTGATGGTGATGGTGATGGTGATGATGATGGTGATGGTGATGATGACGATGTCGATGATGATGATGATGATGATGATGATGATGATGATGATGATGATGATGGTGATGCTGATGATGATGATGATGATGATGATGATGCTTACCATGCTGATGATGATGCTGCTGCTGATGATGATGAGGTTGATGACGATTCTGATAACGATGATGATGATGAGGATGAGGATGAGGATGATGATGATGACGATGACGATGATGATGCTGCTGCTGATGATGATAATGATTCTGACGATGACGATGACGATGATGATGCTGATGATGATGATCATGACGATCGTGATGATGAGGATGATGATGATGATGGCGATGCCGATGACGATTCCGATGCTGATAATGGTGATGATGATGCTGATACTTATGATGATGCTGATGCTGATGATGATGATGATGATGCTGATGATGATGATGATGATGATGATGATGCTGATGGTGCTGATGCTGATGCTGATGCTGATGCTGCTGCTGATGATGATACAGATGATGCTGATGATGATGGTGGCGATGCTCATGACGGTGATGATGAGGATGAGGATGAGGATGATGATGATGATGATAATGTTGATGATGCTGATGATGATGATAACGATGATGACGATGACGATGACGATGACGATGATGATGATGATGATGATGATGATGATGATGATGATGATGATGATGATGATGATGATGATGCTTACCATGCTGATGATGCTGCTGCTGCTGATGATGATGATGTTGTTGACGATTCTGATAACGATGATGATGATGATCATGATGATGATGATGCTGATGATGATGATGATGATGATGATGCTGATGATGATGATGATGATGAGGCTGATGAGGCTGATGAGGCTGATGAGGATGACCACGAGGACGACGATGATGATGATGATGGTGATGGTAATGATGATGCTGATGATGATGCTGATGCTGATACTGATGCTGATGCTGATGCTGATGAGACTGATCATGATGGTGATGATGAGGAGGAGGAGGATGACGAGAATGATGATGTTGAGGATTTTCCAGGAAGATGAAGATGTGGAGGAGGAGTACGAGAGGAACGAGGAGCAGGAGGAGGAGGAGGAGGAGGACGAGGAGGAGGAAGATGACGAGGAGGAGGAACAGAAGGAGGAGGATGAGGAGGAGGAGGGGAAGGAGGAAGATAATGATGATGATGAGGAGGAGGAGGAGGAGGACGAGGAGGAATAGGAGGATGTGGAGGACGATGGTCACACATAATACTAACAACATTATGGTGATGATGGGGAGGTTAGGAGTTACGTCGATGAACAGGAAGAGGAGGGTGCGGGGGGAGGGGGTGGTGGGAAGGGCACCTTGATGATGTGGATGATTCGGGAGGGAGTCGGAGTAGATAATAGTAGCAGGAGGATGTTCAGGCGGAGGAGGGGCTTGACGGCAGCAACTGAATACATGGATGACGGGGGAGGGGGCGGCGAAAGAGGAGGAACATAACGAGGCAGGGAACTCCCACCCAGGCGAGGATCGTGCCCTTGACGTTTGTGTTCCCGACGGACTTCATGGACAGCAGGCGCGTCGCATGGACGGATGAGACAAACAAATGAAGGGACACCTGGGGTACATGTTTATACACATTATGGACACATCTACATGCATATATACACGTAGCGGACGAGCTAGAGAGAGACATACATATCAAGAGAGAGAGAGAGACACAGAAAGACATCGAGAGATATTGCGATGCAGATGACAGAGAAACCGAGAGAGCGATACACACACGTGCACTTACATATGCGTATGCATGTACGTTTGCATCTAAATCTACATATGCAGCTACATACACACATAGCATACACATACACGTGTATACACGCATCCATACACATTTGCATTCACATTCACTTTGACCTATACACATACGTATGCATATACACGTGTATTTATACATATGCACATGCGTATGCATAGTCACGTACACGCAACCATGACCATAGACATACGCACATATCTGCACACACGCCCATACACGTGCACATATCTGCATCCGCATACGCATACATTTGCACATGCGTATTCACATCCACGTTCGCATACGTAGCGTCACTCATATGAATACCATGTTCCGTATCCATATGCATAGTTGTAAACGTTTACGGGTACATGTGTAGACATGTTTATATAGTGTTCGTATGAGTACGCATTTACATGTACATCAAAGCGCACACATACATTTACATGGCCATGCGCACACACGTGTACACATACACCTGGGCATACACATATTCCAAGTTTCTTAATAAGCGTCGGGGGGGCGTCACCCCCGCCGACAGCCCCACATCGACCCCCGTCGCGGGCAGCCACCGCGCGCCGAAGGCGCTCCGACCCCCGTCTCGCGGCGCGACGACGAGGCGAGGTTGATCCCCGTCGGGTGGGGGTAATTACCCCCCCACGCTTATTAAGAACCCCAGAGTATGCACACTCGTATACACACATGTACCCACAGTCATGTACACATACACAGCTAGTTGCACACACCTACGCACTCACATATATATATATATATATATATATATATATATTTACATAAATCGTATGGATGAATACCAGGTCCCCAGCCCCGGGGCCCCGCCCACCTCAAAACCATCGGGCCCCCTTTTTTAATACCCCCGCCCTGGCGCCTCCAAGGGGCCTCCAGATGGCCCAGGAGGCTTCCAGGAGACCTCCAAGACGGCCCCAGGAATGACCCAAGATGTCCATCACAAGATCGGTCCAAGACGCTCAAGATAGTCCCTAGATGGCCCAAAAGGCTTACAAGACGCCCCAAGAGGCCTCCAAGAGGTTTTTTCAAGAGTGCCACAAGAGGCAACAAATGGTTGTTTTTCTATGGTTTTGTATGTTTTTTTTGTGGTTCTCACCTTTTCGGCTTCCCGACGCTCCACGATAGCCGAAGAGGCTCCCGAGATCGCCCATAGACGGCCCAAGAGGCTCCCAAGACGGCCCCAAGACAACCCGAGAGGGGCCCACACAGCCCAAGAGGCCTCCAAGACGGTCCAAGATAGCCCCAAGACGGCTCTAAGAAGGGGCCCAGACAGGGAATCCCGACGAACTTCTCGGACCTTCGGCCCAAAAAGCCCTCAGGAGACTCCAAGAAGCGCCCCGGAGGCCCCCAAGACGCCGCCAGAAGCCCCCGAAGGGCTCCCAAGATGCATGTCACAGGTACACGGCAAACAGATCCCACGGGCCATTTTTTGTTCATAAAAATATTATAGCTATAATTATTATGTTCTGCCTCGTTGGAAGACATCCGTTTGAAGACCCTGAATTCCAGCACATTCTTCTCGGGTTTCCATTGCCACGGATCAACCTGACTGTGGCCACACCATTATTGGTGCGTTGATCATGGGAGTCCGTGAAACCCATTGCAACGTTTGAGCACGAATGTGCGCGGCGCTAAGGCGAGAACTACATTTCGAAAAGGAGCCGCCTTCAATCCGTCAAACTCCTGCAATTTCCCTAGACGACTGTGCGCGGTGCTAGGGCGAGAGCTACATTTTGAAAACGAGTCGCCCTCAATCCGTGAAGCCCTTCCACATTTTTCAGACGAGCGTGCGCGGCGCTAAGGCGAGAGCTACATTTTGAAAACTACCCGCCCTCCATCTGTGAAATATCGGCCATGTTTTAAGCTTCAGAGTCATACGAGGTGTGGAAGTCTGAAGCAAAACGCCCGGCCCGCCTTAAAATCTAGTCTCGGGGTGCGACAGGGAGAAGTTATGCATAAGGAGAAGGAATGGAGGTGGAGGAGGAGGAGGCGGAAAAGGAGGAGGAGGAGGACGAGGATTTGGATGAGGATGAGGATCAGGATGATGATGTTGATGATGATGATGATGGTGATGATGATGATGAAGGTGATGATGGTGATGGTGATGATGATGACGATGATGATGCTGACCATGATGATGCTGACGAAGAAGATGCTGCTGGTGATGATGATGATCATGATGCTGGTCCTGATGCTGCTGATGATGATGATGATGAGGAGGAGGAGGAGGAGGAGAAGGAGGATGAATGGGGGGGACCCATGAGGAGGCCTGATGCATGTGGGGTAGTTGTCCCGGAGTTTCGGCGACAGGCATTGATGTATCCCCCCTCGCTCTGGCCGCAGGCCCAAGAAACCCGGGATGAGATTCATCATCCACCCTCCCATCGAGCCGGGGCAGGACCCGTGTGCCGCTTATTCTTCTTGCTCTTCCTTCTCTTTCTCCCCCTCGTTCTCCCTTGTCCTCCTCTTCCCCGCTCCCCCCTCCCTGCATCCATCGCTGTGATGCCCGGGTAACTGTGGGCTGGCCTGACACGGGCCTGAATTCCTCGCTCCCTCGCTGCCTGCGCGGGGAGGGGGCGGAGCCTGGATATCTCAGGCGTCGAGGTGATCGAGTGCTTGCGGGGGTCACCGCGAGGGTGGCTGGGAGGGAGTGAAAGGTGTTCTGAGTTTTTGTCGTGGTTTTCGGCTTCCCCGCTCCTCTCATGCCAGCAAGGTGACCAGGTCACCCCCAGGGGCGCGAAGGTCGTCGCGCTTCGCGCGTCGCGGCCTGGGCCTGGCGGCCCTCCTTCCCCGAGGAGCGGTTTCGCAAGGACGCGAAGATAACCGCGCGTCGCGCATCGCGGGGCGCGACGCGCGAATTTTTTTGCGAGCCAGGGACAGGGGAGCGAAAGATATCTGATCATGCGACGACGACGACGACTGCGGCGGCGACGATGACGGCGACGATGACGACGAGGTCTTGGGCCGGCGCGCGCGGGAGCCCGCCGCGGCTGTTCGACCGAGGCGGGCTCCCACTGGGGGGGCCACCCCTTCAGCCGGTGCCCTTCCTCCCTACCTGCGGGTGATGGGGGTTATGCGGTTCAGGAGGTTCATCATCATCATCATCATCATCATCATCATCATCATCATCATCATCATCATCATCATCATCATCATCATCAGCACCATCATCATCATCATCATCATCATCATCTTCATCATCATCATCATCATCATTATCATCATCATCATCAGCAGCACCACCATCATCATCATCACCATCATCATCATCATCATCTTCATCATCTTCATCATCATCATTGTCGTCGTCGCCGTCATCATCATCATCGTCGTCCTCGTTCCCGTCCTCATCCTCATCTTCACCTTCATCCTTTTTCCAATCACTGTCGTTATTTCGTTGACGCTGCTACTGCTGCGAGGTGCTGCTGCTGCTGCTAGGTCGGCCGTGCCACCCACATGTCCACATGCGTTCTGTTAGGTCGAGAAAAACATTTCCACGAGAGAACCGACCGTGCCCCCTATGTATCCACAAACGTTCTGCTAGATCGGCCCTGCTTTCAATGTGCCCGCATACGTTGTGCCATGCCGAAGAGGCATCTGGTCTACACGGCTGAGCCCGCCGTGCTACCTGTGTTTCCATATATGTTCTGCTAGGTCGGCCGTGCCACCTATGTGCCCACATACGTTCTGCTAGGTCGAGGGGACATCAGGCTTTCACAAGAAAACCGACCGTGCCACTAACGTGTTACATACATTCTGCTAGTTCGGCCGTATCACCAATGTGGCCATATGCGTTCTGGCAAGTCGAAAGGACGTCTGGCTTTCACGACAAAGCCGACTGTGCCCCTGTGCGTCCGCATACGTTCTGGTTTGTCGGCCGAGCCACCGATGTGTCCACATACGTTTTCCAGGTCGAAAGGACATCCTGCTTTCACAGCGGGGTAAGCCGTGCCACCTGCGTGTCCACGTACGTTCTGCTCGGTGAGCCGTGCCCACATCTGTCCATACGTCCTGCCAGGTCGAAGACTCGTCTGGGTTTCACGAGAAGGCCTGGCGTGCCGCGTATGTGTCCATCTGCGTTCATGCGTTCTGCTCGGCCGGCCGTGCCACCTATGTATCCACACACGTTATGATTGGCTGCAGGGACATCTGGCTGTCACGCGAAGGCCGACCGTGCCACAAGTGTCCACATACATTCTGCTTGGGCGGCCGTACTATCTGTGTGTCCACGCACCTTCTGCCAGGTCGGAAGGACATCGGGATTTCGCGAGAGAGCCGACCGTGCCACTTATGCGTCCACATGCGTTCTGCTCGGGTGGTCTTTCCACCGAGGTGTCCACACACGTCTGGTAGGTCGAAAAGACATTTAGCTTCCACGAGAGGGCCGACCGTGTCCCGTGTGCGTCCACATGCGCTCTGCCAGGGCGGTGTATCCACATACGTTAGCTCTTGACCGGAAGGGGCCCGCTCCCGACCCGCAGACCAAAAAGTATCCACATACGTTCTGCTAGGTCGGCGACCGTGCCACCTGTGTGTCCACATGCGTTCTGTCATCTTCGAAGTCGAATGAACATTTGTCTCCACGAGATGGCCGGCCGTGCCACCTATGTGTCCACATACGTTCTGCCGGTCGGCCGTGCTACCGATGTGTCCACATGCGTTCTGCTAGGTCGCAAAGATATTTGGATTTCACGAGGGATCGGACAGTGCCACCTATGTGTTCGCGTGCCTTCTGCAAGGTCGAAAGGACATCTGGTTTACACGAGAGAAGCAGCCGTGCCGCCAACGTTTCCACGTACGTTCAGCCAGGTTGGCCGTACCAACGATGTGTCCACATACGTTCTGCAAGATTGAAGGGACATTTGGATTCACGAGGGATCGGACAGTGCCACCAGCGTGTTCACATGCGTTCTGCGAGGTCGAGAGGACATTTGGATTTCACGGGAGAGCCAGCCGCGCCACCTATGTGTCCACAGACGTTTTGCTAGGTCGGCCGTGCCACGGATGTGTCCACATACGCTCTGTCAGGTCGAAGGGACATTTGGCTTTCACGAGGGATCGGACAGTGCCCCCTAAGTCCCCACACGCGTTCTGCCAGGTCGAAAGGTCATCTGGTTTACCCGGGAGAGCCAGCCGTGCCGCCGATGTTTCCACAAACGTTCTGCTAGGTCGAAGGCGCCACCTATGTGTCAACATGCGTTCTGCCAGGTCGAAAGGACATTTGTCTTTCACGACAGGGCCGACCGTGTCACCTACATGCGCACATATGTTCTGCAAGATCGGCCGTGCTACCGATGTGTCCACACACGTTCTGCTAGGTCGAAAGGACATGTGGATTTCACGGGAGAGCCAGCCGTGCAACCTATATGTCCACATATGTTCTGCTAGATCGGCCGTGCCACTTATGTGCCCACATACGTTTTGCCGGGGAGCCGATCGTGCCACCTATGTTTCCGCAAACGTTCTGCTAGGTCGGCCGTGATACCTGTGTGTCCCCATACGTTCTGACATGTCGAACGGACATGTGGCTTTCAGGAGCGAGCCAACGGTACCATCTACGTGTCCACATGCTTTCTGCTATGTGGGACGCGCCACCTGATGTGACTCTGAGGATTCCCAAGAGTTCCCAGATGTTTCGTTCGCATACCACAGTTGCCGCGTGTCTGTGGTTTCTTCCTTCGTCTGCAGGCCACGTTCCGTGTTTTCCCCGTCTCAGGGTTCCCTCGCTCTTTTTGTTTGTTTTTGTTTTATCCGTGTTGCAATTCGTATTGTTTGTATGTCATTTTCTTTGTTTTTTGTTTTTTCCCCTCGGTTAGTGGGTCGTGGGGGGGTCTCGGTTTCCCTGAAGCCTCGTGGGAGCCTCTTCGGGGCCTCCTCGGTGCCTGTCGGGCCTCTTGGGGGCCTCCTTGGGCGTCTTGGAGGCGGAGGAAGCTCCGTTGCGAGTTTTCCAGATGGCTCGCTGGATGGGCTGAAGGCCACTGGGAACCTTGCGACAAGCACAGGGGGCGGAGGATCGAATACCCCTACGGCGAATCACCGCCGCCCCCTGCTTTTTGGACGCGCCGATGTGGCCGGACCTTGTGGCCATAACTTGGACAAACCATCGGACCACGCGTTCTCCGGGTCGTGGTGGCAACCTTTGGGCGAACAGTTTGAAGAGGATGTGGGAAAGCTTCAGGAACGGCAGGAGGAGAAGGAAAATGAGGAACAGCTGGAGGGTGAGGAGAGGAGAAGAAGAATAAGGAGGATGAGAAGGAGGATGAGGATGAGGATGATGATGACGAGGATGAGGACGAGGATGAGGAGGATGAGAAGGAGGATGAGGAGGATGAGGATGAGGAGGATGAGAAGGAGGATGAGGATGAGGAGGATGAGAAGGAGGAGGAGGAGGGCCGTGATAATGGTGACGATGACGATGACGATGATGATGATGATGATGATGATGATGATGATGATGATGATGATGATGATGATGATGATGATGATGATGATGATGATGATGATGATGATGATGCTGATGCTGATGCTGATGCTGATGCTGATGCTGATGCTGATGCTGATGCTGATGCTGCTGCCGATGCTGCTGCCGATGACGATGACGATGATGATACTGATGATGATGGTGATGATAATGATGGTGGCGATGATGATAACAATAATGATAATAATAAGGATGATGAACATGGTTGTGATGCTGATGATGATTGTGATGATGATGCTGATGATGGTAACGACGACGATGATGATTCGGATGAGGATTGGGGGCGAGGATGAGCTGATCGTGCAGGCGATAATGTGAAAGATGACGAATCTGAACATGATTGTGCTGATGGTGATGATGAAGATGGTGATGGTATGATGAGTGTGACGGTCGGGGTTTCGCTTATGTTGATGGTGGCGATTACGAGTCGTATACTTGTGCGGGTGGTGGCGGTGATGGTGATTATGTTCTCGTTGCTGATGATGACGGCGATGCTGATGATGGTAATGATGATGCTGATGCCGATGATGGTGTTTGTGATCACGATAACGATGATGCTGATGCTGCTGATGATGATGGTGATGGTGATTTTGATGGTGATAGTGATGTTGCTGATGTTGATGCTGATGATGAGGATGATGGCTGCTGATGATGATCAAGATTATGTTGACGATGACGATGATGATGATGATGATGATGATGATGATGATGATGATGATGATGATGATGATGATGATGATGCTGATGACGATGCTGATGATGCCGCGATGTTGATGATGATGAAGATGAGGATGATGATGATGATGCTGATGCTGATGCTGATGCTGCTGATGATGATGATCATGATGATGACGATGCTGCTGCTGATTATTATGATGATGCCGATGCTGATGCTGATGATGATGATGGTGGTGATGATGATGATGATGATCATGATGATGATGATGATGATGATGACGAGGATGATACGGATGATTCTGATTGTGGTGGTGGTGGTGGTGGTGATGCTGAGGATGGTGGTGGAGGAGGAGGAGGAGGAGGAGGAGGGGGAGGATGACGACGACGATCACGACGACGGGGGCCGCACCGAAGGACCCCGACGCGCTGATGCGGCAGGTGGAGGGCATAGTGCTCGGGCCCCTGCAGGAAGCCACCGGGGCCCTGCCGCCCGACCCGCAGGCTCCGCCTCCTCTTCGCCGTCGCCGTCGTCGTCGTCGTCGTCGACGTCGTCGTCGTCGTCGTCGTTCGTCGTCGTTCGTCGTCGTTCGTCGTCGTTCGTCGTCGTTCGTCGTCGTTCGTCGTCGTCGTCGTCGTCGTTTGAGGCCTCGACCTCGGCGAGCGCCCCTCCGCCGCTTCGCTCCTCTGTGGCCCCTGGCCACGCGGGCATGGCACGGCCGTCGAAGCATGAACAAAAACAGCCGATGGGCTCGGAGGGCGCCAAGTACGTAAATACATCGACCGATCCTGGCCAGACCAATTCTGGGCCCACGATTTGTGTGTGTGCATGTATGGAAGTATGTATGTATATATTTATACACATGTATGTACGTATGTGTATGTATGTATGCATGCATGCATGTATCTACGTATGTATGTATATATGTATGTATGTCTGCATGTATGTATGTATGTATGTATGTATGTATGTATGTATGTATGTATGTAAGTATGTATGTATGCATGCATGCATGAATGCATGCATGTATTTAGGTATGTAGGTATGTAGGTATGTAGGTATGTAGGTATATAGGTATGTATGTACGTAGATATGTGTGTGTGTGTGTCTGTCTGTTTGTCTGTATGTATGTATGCATGCATGCACGTATGTATGTATGAATGTCTGCATGCATGCATGCATGCATGCATGCATGCATGCATGCATGCATGCATGCATGCATGCATGTATGTATGTATGTATGTATGTATGTATGTATGTATGTATGTATGTATGTATGTATGTATGTATGTATGTATGTATGTATGTATGTATGTATGTATGTATGTATGTATGTATGTATGTATGTATGTATGTATGTATGTAGGTAGTAGGTAGGTAGGTAGGTAGGTAGGTATGTATGTGTGGATGTATATATGTATATGTATGTGTGTATATATATATACGTATACATGTTTATGTCTAGATGTGTATATGTGTGTATATGTATATGCGTGTATTTCTATATGTTTATGTGTGTACATATGTATATCTCGGAGTAGGCTGGGGGAGGGCCTGGGACCACGACCTCTGGTTTGCATGGGGGCCCAGGGTGGCCTTGAGGGCTCCAAGAAGGCCCAGAAGGGGCCCCAGACCCCCCCAGAGGCCCCCAAGCTGGCCCAGAGGCTCTCAAAGCGCCCCAGGTTGCCGGGAAGATGGCTGAAGAGCGCACTGCGATGGCCTCACGGCGGCCCACGAGCGCTCCAAGACTGCTCAAGACTGCTCCTGGACGGCCGCAAAGGCCCTCAAGACAGTCCAAGAGGCCGCCGATCGGGCCCCTCAAGGGCAAAAATCAAACATGTCCTATGGAAGATCGTATTTTTGCAGGATGTTCGCGTTCTCAGTCCTAACAGCGGCCGCGACGGCCCCAAAGGCCTCCAAAGTCGGCCCCAGACGGCCCAAGAGGCCCCGAGGGGGGGCGTGATGTTATGCGAATCCTCCCGCAACGGGCCACGTGCAGTCGCGTCCTGCTGGCGCACAATCCGTGTGATGGGTGCGTTGAGATGGGCGGAGGGGCGCCGTCGTGGCCGTGGGGCTGACTGCTTCCCTCGGGGTTTCCCGGGTTTCTCCTCTCTGTCATCTCCTCGTCGTCGTGGTAGTCGTGACAGCCGTCGCCGCTGTCGTCGCCGCCGCGGCTCCTGTCGTCTGCCACACTAGCCGACGCCACCGCTGGCTCGTCGTTGCCGTCGCCGCCGCCCGACTCGGCTGGCCGGGCGCGCCGGCCCGGCCCGGCTCGGGGCCCCTGCTCGGGCAGGAGGAGGGGGACGAGGTAGGGGAGGGGGAACCGGACAATGGACGGGGAGGAGTCAGGAGGAAAAGGAACACACACAGACACAATTGATCTATGGGAACATATGGGAAGTGGGCGGGAAGACAGAAACTCGGAAAATACAGGAACATGTGGGGAGTGTTTTTCTTTGTGTGTATTTGTTTGTGCGTCCACGGTGTTCCTTTTCCTGCGCAAGCTCTTCAGCACCGCCTGCACCCCGCGCCCTCCGGCCGCCTGAGGCCCCGCCCGCCCGCGCCCTGTCTCCTCAATTAGTGCTTTGCGCGGCCCGCCTAGCTCTTAATCGGAAGAGGCTCGCTCTCGACCCGCAGACCGAGAACATGACAAATATTGGGAGCATTTCTATTTGTCTGTATCTATTCGTGTGTCCTGAGGCCCCTTCGAGGAGGGGGTTTAGGAGGGGCAGGGCCGGCGCCGCCGCTGGCTCGTCGTCGCCGTCGTGGCCGCCCGGCGCGGCCCGCCCGGCGCGCCGGCACGGCCCCGCCCGGGGGCGCGGCTCGTCGCAGCAGAAGGGGAGGGAGTGCAGTGCCGTTTTTGATACGTGCTCCGCGTGCGGATCACGTACTAAACATGCAGGAGGGAAAGAAACACACAGACACAATGAATCGTCGGTGTCCCAGAAGGTATGCGAGAATATGGGAAGTGGGGGGGAAGACAAAAACCCAGAAAGTATGGGAAAAGACGGGGAATGATTTTATTTGTGTGTATTTATTTGTGTGTCCTAGGGCCCCTTCAAAGATGCAGGGATGTAGTATCAGAAACAACGATGAGTTCATGCATGCATTTATCAATACATTCATCATGTATCAGAAATCCGATATTTTTTAACATCCTATGTATCAAAACCTGCCACGTAGGGGGAGGGGAGTGGGACCATGGACGGGGGGGAGGAGGTCGAGGAGGGGGAGGTGGAGGAGGCTCGTTGGCCATGAACTGTCTCATTGTTCGCCCGACGATGGGGAGCGTGAGCTCGGCTTAGAGCGTCGTGAGAGAGGTGAGTTTCACCTTCCTGAGGCATTCTGATGGTGATGAGGAGGAAGAGGGGGAGGGGGAGGACAAGCTAGGTGCGCTCGCGTCATATCTGACATCCTACCCCTCCCTCCCATCCCTTACCATGGCGCAGATCCCCTCTCTACTCGCACAGTCGGATGTCGAACAGGGCAATGATCCCGAGAGGGTACGCGATGCGTTGTAGAGCACGGCATGGCATGGCGTAGTATCAACCTGGCATTGCATTGCATTGCATGCCGTGGCATGGCACGGCAAATGACGCCAGCGCTGCAGCGGGAGCACGAGTCGAAACGAGCGGAAGCGCGGAAATGAGGCCAGCGCTGCAGCGGGAGCACGAGTCGGAACGAGCGGAAGCACCGAAATGAGGCCAGCGCTGCAGCGGGAGCACGATTCGGAACGAGCGGGGCCCGAAAATGAGGCGGGCGCCTCAGCGAGAGCAGCATTTTGAAACGAATGCAAACGAAAGCCCAACTCCGGGGAAACCTGTGTGTAAAAAATCAATACGCGGGGGGGTCGGACACTTTCAAGCCGCCATCAGGGGAAGAGGGAGAGTAGTATTCATATTGAGTAATTATGGAGGACGAGACGAGGAGGAATAGGAGGGGCGTCATAGTAGTTGCCGCAGCGATAGCTGGCTTGTGGCAGCCACGCATTCGTAGCGACGTTGCTGGTTGAACGTTTGATGTCGGCTCTTGCTATCACTGAGACGCAAAAACCCCGAAGTGTCTGTTTGTTCTCCCGTCGACAAGGGACACGAGCTGGGTTTAAACCGTCGTGGGACAGGGTCGTTTCACCTTCCTGAGGCACTCTGATGATGATGAGGAGGAAGGTGAGGGAAAGGAGGATGAGGAGGATCAATGGGACGAGGAGGAGGATCAGGAGGGGTGTCAGAAAGGTTACCACAGGGATATCTCGCTTGTGGCAGTCATGCGTTCGTAGCGACGTTGCGTTTTGATCCTTCGATGCTGGCTCATGCTATCACTGAGACGCAGAAGCCCCGAAGAGTCTGATTGTTCGCCCGACAACAGGGAACGTGAGCTGGGTGCACACCGTCGGGAGACAGGTTAGTTCCACCTTCCTGAGACACTCTGATGGTTATGAGGAGGAAAGGGGGAGGAAGAGGAGGAGGAGGAGGAGGGCGAATATCAGGAGGGAAGGAGCAGGAGGGGTGTCATATAAGTTCCCACAGGGATAACTGGCTTGTGGCAGCCACGCATTCTTAGCGACGTTACCTTTTGATCTTTCGATGTCGGCTCTTGCTAGCACTCCGACGTAGAAGTCCCAATGTATTTTATTGTTCGCCCGACAACAGGGGACGTGAGGTTTGGATACACCGTCGTCAGACAAGTTCGTTTCGCGTTCCTGAGGCACTTTGATGATGATGAGTACGAGGAGGGGGAGGGAGAGGATGAGGATCTGGAGGACGAGGATTCTCCGCAGGAGAAGCTGGCTGGTGGCAGCCACGCGTTCGCAGCGACGTTGCTTTTTGGCGCTTCGATGTCGATTCTTGTTCACTGAGATGCAGAAGCCCCGGAGTCTCGGTTTGTTCGTGAGGTGGGCTTACTCCGTAGTGAGACAGGTTGGTTCCACCTTCCTGAGGCACTCTGATGATGATGATGCAGATGATGATGATGATGATGATGATGAAGATGATGATGATTGATGATGATGATGATGATGATGATCTGAGAGGAGGAGGAGGAGGAGGAGGAGGAGGAGGAGGAGGAGGAAGATGAAGAGTTGGAGAGAGAGGGAGAGGAGGACGAGGATTAGAAGGACGAGGAGGAGGATCAGGAGGGGTGTCAGAAAAGGCTACCACGCGTTTGTGGCGACGTTGCCTTTTCGATCCTTCGATGCCGGCCTTTGCTATCATTGCGACGCAGAAGCACCAAAGTGTCAGATTGTTCGCCCCACGATATGGAACGTGAGCTGGTTTTAGACGAGGTGGAGGATCAGAAGGACGAGGAGGAGGATCAGGAGGGTGTTAGAACAAAAAACCACAGGGATACCTTGCTTGCGGCAGCCACGCGTTCGTAGCGACGTCGCTAGTTGATCGTTTGATGTCGGCTCTTGCTATCACTGAGACGCAGAAGCCCCCATGTATCTGATTGTTCGCCCGACGATCGGGAACGTGAGCTGGGCTTCCACCGTCGTGAGACAGGTTAGTT